AATACCCATAAGCTCTTCCAGACAAATTGCATGATCATGAAAAAAGATTTATACCATCTCTATGGAGTCTTAGAGCATTTCTCTCTTTCTCTTAGATCTCCTTATCCCTAAAGGATCTCTTTATCTTACCACTCCAGACCACCATTTTCTATCTTCCTTAAACTTAATAGCAATCAAACTCAGCATTCTGAAAGTTAATACATTTTATTTGACATGTTTAGGTTTTCTGGATCCTCCTTATTTCCCATTCAGACCAATTTCTTGGCAAACAGGAATAATAATGTCTTTGACTTCTTTGTTCCTTCCTACAACTGGTTTCCATTTCATTGGTATCTAGTGCCGTCTGGTGACGCACAGCAGCACTAGAACATTGAACGATTGTTGGTTAAAAGTGGGGGGGGGGGAAGGCAGAGAAGGAGAGAGAGAGAGAGAGCGTGCGCCTAAAATGCAGGAATGTCTCTCCTTCTATTAAGTTGTTCATTAGGTTTTACAGTGTATTCTGCATTCATCCTATTTATTTTCTCACATTCTACTTTAGTACTTTATCTTTTGATACACAGATTGTTTAGTAGTTTCCTAAATAGTTTGTCTGTCTCTATCATTTCCTGCTAATCCTTCGTAAATGAATGCATGTCTGAAGAGACCTAAACCTAATGTACTATTGATTTCACAGTCTTACTACACCACTCATTTCAAAATGGTCTCTTTTTCCTTGGAACAAGTTTTCCTTTTATATCTTATTCAGAAATTAGCCAAACATGATATCATATCTCTAGCACTTTCTCACATTTTATATTTTTAATCTTCAACTTTTTTTTGCCTATCTCTGTAACCAGACTGTAAATTTAGTATGTTCCTTTTATGTAGTATATATCCTTTAAATATTTGTTGATTTAATATGTTAACTCAAGTATAAAATGAACATTTGACCTTGTGTAGAGTGCAAAAGACATCTTTTGACACACTGTGGTAGGAAAACAAATTCAAAGGTTTATTATCAAAGATAACAGTGATTTATCTGAAGCAATCTTTAGTCTGGGTAAGCAAGATGATGTTAGGCTTTGTGAATTAATGTTATGAGAAAAGAAAGTCTATTTTTGTTGAGAGAGAAAATTTTGCTGCATAACTGTAATTAGGGACAAATCAGAGATTAATGATGCATTATATTCTAGAGCTTTAACTGATAAGCACCAAGAAATGGCTTTCTCAACTTTAAATGGTTTGTAAAATATTATCTCTGTACTTTGCTCTATATACAGAAAATAATGGATACTAGGTCTGCTATTCAGAAAATTCAATATTTATTCTAAAATATAAATTGTTGAGTTATAGGAAGATTTCATATACTCAAAAAGAGCATAAAATCTACCTCTACTAATTAGCTTCTCTATGAAAGCCTTCCAGGCAATTACAGGGTAGTACCATTGGTCAATGCTTTGGTTGCTTTTCATTAAAGGTATAGTGTTGCTACCAGATGAATTGCTTCATATAAAAGCACTTACCACAAAGACCCATAATGGAGGGTTAAGTGCTATACTAATTACTAATTTCAATCCTTATTACCTATATTTTGCAGAATAGGCACTTTAAAGGAACCAAATATAGGCTATTGGTTCCCGCTTCTCTGATTATAGGATTTGGTGGTAAAAGCTTTAATTTAGCTGCTCTTCTAATAAAAATAACTCCCCAAATTAATAAAAAGAGCCATACCACAAACTGACATAAAATACATATACTATACTTTTGCTATTGAACTTGTATTTACAATCACTTCGTCATAAACACTTTAATCGAGTTGACACACACACACTTCAAAATTTGTGTTCAGCCATTATGGCACCGTTGCAGATGAATCTCCAAGAGAAAAAGGTATTTGAAATTTTCATGGCTTATTTCCTACCTCAGCATCACACTGAAATGAACACAGAGCAGATGATTTATAAAACATCTGATGACAATGGTGACTCCCCTGAGTTCTTTATATATTGATCATTACCTTTTTATATGTATATATTAAAATTCTTCATATGTGCTTTAATTTTCTTGAGGGAATACTCTGTGTTTTTCCTTGCTTATATCCTTCAGAATAACTGCAACTTTGCCCACTCTCGGTTTATTTATATTTTCTAAAATATATCTTGGTAAAAGGGCATCTAAAATCTCTGATTAAAAGTTGAAAGTTGTATCTGAAATAACTATATGTAAAGATTTGCTTCTTATTACTATACTGCTCATTTCTATTTTTAAACATCTCTTACATTGTACTTCTTATTCTGAACAATTGTTTAATTGGCAAATAAGGTACTATATGCATTAAGCAAATATTAATCTAGAAAAACATGTAGAAATATTTTTTCAAATAATTAATAAGTACTGCCTCAATCTAGCTACCAGATTCAAATTGGACATTAGTCTGCTACAGGAACACAGGAACCATATCTTTTTTGAACTATATTCAGTACATGGTATCTGGTATGTGTTCAATCAAATAAAATACAGTAAAATTGGGGGATACAGAAATTTTTGAAAACATAAAATATTTACTAAAATGCAGTGATGTTTGGCTAATATAGCCTATATTTCTTTTCTATCATCTATGCTTGGGTAATGCATCCTGTATTTCTCTTTTAGAGATACATTATGCATATTAATAAAGGCCAAGTATAGATATTTTAACTTAGCTTAACCCAGAATTTCCCAAACTAATTTGAGCATGGGAGCTTAACCCAGAATTTTCCAAACTAATTTCCCAAACTAATGGGACTTTCCCTTTCTCACCATAAGTAGTAATAACCTCTAGGTAAAGATACCAGTTTGGAAATTGCTGATAAGTGTTAAAAGTTACTAAATAAAGATAATTTTAAAGAATTAACTATGAACACAAAACCATGCCTCAAGAGGCAAACGCCACACTGCAATAGTAACAGGATTGATCATTTTGCAGGTTCAGGTCCACTGTTCACAGCCGACAACATCCCATGAGAAAGCCTAGACCTTACCCTACTATGTATTTTCATGGCATCCAGTGTGATGACTTTCTTTCAGCAAATAGGCAGTGATTAATCCATATTTTAGGAAAATTACCAATACATCTTTCTGGAATTTTATTAAGGTTTTAGCTATCACTTTTAAAAGCAAATTTTTAGGCTGGGCATGGCGGCCCATGACTGTAATCCCCACACTTTGGGAGGCTGAGGCAGGAGGATCACTTAAGGTCATGTGTTCAAGACAAGCCCGAGCAATATAGCGAGACCCTCATCTCTACAAAAACCTTTTAAAAATTAGCCAGGCATGGTGGTGTGCACCTGTAGTCCTAGCTACTAGAGAGGCTGAGGATGGAGGATCCTGTGAGCCCAGGAGTTTGAAGTTACAGTAAGCTATGACTTTGCCACTATACTCCAGTCTGGGCAAAAGAGTGAGATCGTGTTTCAAAAAAATTTAAAAAAAAAAAGTTAAATTGATAAAATAAAGAATAAAAATTGAAATTGCACATTTATACCAGGATTTCAGATAATGCAATAATCTGGGATTAGCAGGGGCTATGTAACATTGCATGCATATTTAAGTTACTTGGCTTTAAAATCTTCTATTACTTCACCTTGTTGTATACAGTTCACATAATTGTAGTGTAAAATTGTGATAATTCCCAAGACATCGATTCAGCAAATATTTATTGAGTGCCTACCATTTGCCAGTATTATAACAGGCACTGGACATATTAATTTCCTTGCTTCCTAATTTTGTCATAGAGCAGTTTATAAAATTACATTTAATTCAGCAAATATTTGCAGAGTACTAGGCTTATGGAATAGGTTTGAACCAGGGCTTGAAGATTTAGAATTCTATAAACCAGAAAAGGTCCAGAAGGGTATTACAGATATTTCATTCCACAATTGTGAGTCAGTACTTGAGATATTTGATATCAATTGAATACATTGGTTATGTCATTAAATTACTTCTTTCAAGAACCAAATAAGTCTGATAGAGGAATTTAATATATGTTTTGATTATTATTTTATTGGATAAAATAGAAATGTATTTTTATACTTTTTCCTTATACTGTGTTATAAATTGTGTGCTTTGCAAAAAACATAGTTATATCTAAAGGGGAAAGAGATAAATAAGACAGATACTTTTGGTAACCTATTTTATACTAAAATATAAAGATGATAACGACTGCAGTAAAATACCTTTATACTTTTAATTTATATTTTACTTCAAAACATATTTGTTTTAAAATTGAGGATACATACCACCACAAGTAACACTGTTTAAAATTTCTAATCTACCACCTTTGTCTCAATAACATAATATTGATAAAACTCATTCACAATAAACAAGATAATTTTTATTTTATCAATAATGACTTGACATTTATTGTATAGACTTAAAATGAGTAGCGCTAGTGTCAAAGAATCCTCATGAAACTCCATGGTTATACGAAAGTGAAAACAAACTTCTTTTATGTACATGTTCTTATAACTGCTGATTTATGCTACTATTGTTTTCTCACTATTTCTCTATCTCATGGGATTCCTACACTTTAATGAGTTTCAGCTGTGCACCACCATCTGCGGAACGGTTAGGTCTTATTTTCTCTCAGAAAAAAAAAATAAATAAAGTGTTATAATATTCTTTCCCTTAGTTTTAAATTTTAACTTTGTTACTTTTGACAAAGCCTTTCCTTTGTTTAAATACAAGGATCCAGTAAAAAGAGCTTTGATATGTTGTGCTTTTTATGTGTGCATTCTTCTGATTTCATTGATGTCCTGAATTTTGAAAACGATAATGTACAGCTTCACGTTCTCTTATAAAATGGCATTTGTACACTGTAGCAAGAACAGTTTAGGACAGCATTACATTCACATGACTCTAAAGTCCAATAAATAGTTGATGGTTTCTCAGAAAACCACAATTTGGTGAAACGGACGCAAAACAGTGCTTTTTCTTCCAGTTTGATTTTCATAAAATCTTCCCCCGATACATATTCACTTGCTTACCTGCAGGGTAGCGCTCGATCACTGGCCAGCTGTCCACCTGTAACGTGGCATTGCCACCACTCCTCGTGAAACGAACTACATGGTATTTCCCATCATTAATGATTGCATTGGACTCTTCAATGGCGATGTCATCTGTCCCAACATTAAACTTAACTCCAATTTTTCCCTGGTGCTGTAAGAGAGGAGGGAAAAAAAGAGTTGTATTAAGTTGACTAGTCACCATTTAATAAAGATCACATGCAAGGTATTGTTTAAAATTGTGCTTTGGACAACAGCTGTTTTCCTCCAATTTTTACTTCTGAAAAACTACATGTAGTAGAAGCAAGATTCTTGACATTTGGGTAAATTTAAGACATCTCTTTCATGGATAATTGATATTCCAAAAGGCACACTTTCAAGGGAATTGAGCTGCATTCTTCCCAGAGGTTGTCACAGAGAAGGTGCATAGCTGCCCGCACAAAGGACGTACTTTCATGTCCTTTAATACAGCCCCTTTAATCCACTCTCCCCATTTCACAAGAAAAATGGGGCTCCAAATTCTTCCTTTTAATAACTGGTGAAATCAGAGCAATGATGTCTGTTTAGAGCCCATTAACACATGCTCACAATATAGGAAATAATTCTAAAGGGTATGGGGCATAGAGGCATTTAATGGGTGCAGTCCCTTAGTCAGTATTCACAAGCCATCAAATACTAAGACCTTGAAAGTTATTCAATGTTTTTATTTTATTGATGATCAAACATCAACATTTTATTGATGATAACACAGGAAGGTACAAGACTTGTTCAAGGACACATAACTTAATAGAGATGTACTAGAACTAAAATTCAGTTCCTTTATTCTTAGATTATACCTAAGCTAAATTAAAGCAAAGATACCATTATCCAAAATTAACCCCCTCTTCAAATTATGCAAAACCACACTATGAATCATTCTAACTATAAAGTTGTTGCTGTTAACTTTAGAATTTCATAATAAAAGGTGGCAAAGAGAAACATGTGCTATATCCTCTGCCTCTGAGAAGCATTCTCTAACAGGACTGTCAACTCTACCATGAATTCTGCAGATTTTTAAAGCATGTGGATTTGCCCTTAATCAGTTGCACAGAATACCTGCGCTGTAGGCCCTTGTCAGAACACATAACCTCAAACTGTCTGTGGTTCACCCTTCATCAAACCTCAGTTGAGAGAAATGACGTGGAGGAAGAAGGGTTTAAAGTACACACAGTCCATCCTTTCCTGTGGAAGTTTTAAATCAGAATGTTAGAAATCTGAAGATGTGGACCACATTCTCTTGACTCTTTGTGGGGTTCTCATCATTATTTGAACTAGACAGCAGGAGTATGCTATCGGCTTACACTGAGAATCCTTATGGAAAATCTTTTACAAAATTGCATTAATCAAAGGAAAATATTTGAGGATGTTATTTTGCAGTATTGTTCATTATCTCCTTCATGTAGAGATCCTAAAGATTTCTGTTGAGTTTTTCCCCTGGGTTCTTATTGTACATAAAGATCTCTTTCTTATAAGTTAGCATGCTTACATTTTTTTTTTGTTTTGAATTGCTTGAGGCTTAATGGATGATTTAACTTTTTTAAAAATCACATTTTAACACTATATACATGTTTGCTAAATAAAGATAACTTATTATGTCTCTTAAATGAGATTCTTTAAAATTCTCCTGTAGAGTTATATCACGTGTTAAAAATGTATGTAATAAATTACTGAAAATTTATTTTCAGTAATTACTGAAATGAGTAAAAAGTAATTCTACTACAATGAGAAAATAATGCAGGCTTACAGAAAGATCTGAGCTAAAACAGGTCTTTGAATAAAGTTTGCATTTTCATTGGACTTTTGCTGTTTATTAGCTGAATCAGTCTACATAATACTAAAATGTCTTACAATGCCATGTATTTGAAAGTAAGGGTCATGAGAAATATGGTGGAAATAATAAGTCCAGGGGAAAATATATGCTAAAGTCTCCGCAGCTATTAAAATTACCCAGCAAGAAGTGGTGGCACACATGTATAATCCCAGCACTTTGGGAGGCCAAGGTGAAGAGGACTGTTCAAGCCCAGGAGTTGGAGACCAGCCTGGGAAACATAGCAAGATCTCATCTTTACCACACAAAAAAAATGTTGGGCATGGTGGCACACACTTGTATTCCCAACCACTTAGGAGGCTGAGGTGGGAAGATCACTTGAGCCCAAGAGGTTGAGGCTGCAGTGAGCCATGACTGTGCACTGAACTCCTGCCTGGTTGACAGAGTAAGACCCTGTCTCAAAATAAATAAACAAATATTTAAAAAATTACCCTATCTACATGGACCCTGAGTTTCCTAACGACCAAACACATACATAGGGCTCTACTCATTTTATAAATACTAACTCTGGTATTCTTCATAACAGTTCCATGAAGGAGATGCTCTTTTATCTCCATTTTACAGATGAGAAAATTAAGGCACAGAGTGATTAAGCAATTTGGCTAAAGTCACACAGCTGGAAAGAGAAAAGCTGTGGCTCAGATCCACACAGTCAGGCTCCAGAGTCTGGTCCTTAATCATTACACTAGGCTGAGTTTAGGACTGTTGTGCCATCCTATAGCTGTAGCTAGCAGATTTGGTAAATCTAGCTGTTTTTACTACCTGTTTTATCTCTCCTGCTAGAGTAGCATCACTAAGGGGCCTTGTATTATTCTTCGAAGTTAGCAGATATGTATCAATCAATGTATGCTTAAAATAATTTTGGAATAAATTGCAAGCAACTGATATGAGGATATAATCGAATATTAAAATGCTTCTTTTTGTTTCAGTTTCAGCTGAGATGTTAAGATGATAAGATAATAAGTCAAAAACAGATTACTGTTTCCATCTTACAAAATGAAGTTGAAAATTACTTAAGCCAGACTTGCAAAGGAGAACACTGAGAACTGCTTTTAGGGTTCTGAATTAATTACCTACTTCAATCCATCAAAATGCAGAATAAGGAACGAGGAGATTGACAATTAGAAGAGGATTTTTGGAGAGTTGAGATTTGATGTGATTTCCACATACCTGCAAGGTGGAAGCTTACTTTTCCCTATCTCAAGTGTAGGAGAAAGGGACATTAGTGGAACATCTCAGAAAATTTGACATGTGTCTTCTGGAACTTGATCGGAGGCAGTGGTCAAGGTAGTGAGCAAACTAGCATTTGACTATGCCTGAGAAATCTTCAAGGGAAGAGACTGTGGCTGGCTGATGCCCAGTGGCCAAGGAAAGAGATATTGATGTACCAAGAGCCACCTGTACATTAGGGTTTGTTAGGACAAAGGACACTTGTGGACCCTAGGTTAGTGTCCATGTAGAATTGTGTTGTACCCTGTTTAGCAGGGTTACTAAAGGAATTGGGCTGAGTAGTTAAGAAAACTCAGAAAAAAAAAGAACTTGGAGTTACAGTGATAGATGACCAGAGGCTGAGGTGGGAATCCTAAATGACCATCTGAAGGAAGTGCATTTACTACCTTAATGGAATTGCAGGTAAAGAATTCTAATGATATGGTTAAGGTTTCTAAAGAACCAAATGCTTCCAAAAAGTGCCTCCTTAAGAACTTTAAGCAAAGGCTAAGCTCAACTAAATGGGTACAATAATATCAGCCAAGTAAGGTCATTTATGCCCTTTATGTTTTCTTTCTTCTCCTGCTTCATCCCTGGAGGATAAGAGAGGGAGAGGAAAAGTGAAAGTTGTGGAAACAATCATGTTCCTCCCAGTGCAAGCGGGGGCTCCACTGTGGCTGAAGCAGGGATAATGAGGAGGCTTTAACTGACTTCTATTATTACAGAGGAGTAAGCTGATATTACATTTTATGTCTAAAAGTGAATGGATGACCTTTTTACTATCCAAGAGGGAGCAAGCACTGTTGAGACTCCCTGTGGACTTCCCTGGTGGTTAGAAAGAAATATTTTTACATAACAAGTTTAAATTCTTGTTACACCGTAGGAGGCAGTCCTTTCAACACACGTATAGGAAGATATTTGTTACTCTAGAGTTGTCCATTGTTTTAGGGTCTCATCTATTATAGACCTGGTTCTTATCCAGGATAGACTGGAAAAAGTTCTTGAAGTTTCCTACTTGTTATGATAGGTAGGCCATAAGACCCTATTTTCATCAGAGTATTAATTATTAACAAGGTCTAGATTCAGGGAATAGAAGCATTGCATTGCTAAAGCTGAAAAATGCACTGAACTCTAAAATAAGTCCCTTTAACTTATCCTTAAAACTTTCTGCAATATGAAATGCAAAATACTCATTTTCTAGGTGCAGAAATCTCCAGATTTCATAGGATTTGATTTTTTGCAACACAATAAAATAAACAACGTAGAAACAAGGAGCATCTGTGATGCTTGCAGAACATTTGACTTTTAAATGATGCCCATCTCTTCTTGGATATGATCAGTTTTTGTCTCAACTTCAAATGCCTTTGACATCTCATGGATTTAAAATCTAGAGTTAGCTGGAGTGGAACTGACAACTATCAAAGTAAAGGATCAAACAGGCCCGAACCTAATTCAGACATTATCTACTTCACCCCAGGTTGCATCAGGCTTTGAAAAACAATTTATTTATAAATGATCACCAAAGAGTTTTGGTGAAAACAATACATTTAAAATACATATAAAGTACAAAATACTAATATCAAGCATATTTATAGGACCGGTATTTATTATTTCTTTCAGAAACTATAGATATCCTTAAAACACAACCTTTTCATGTTTATAGGATAGCAAGTCACTTAAATTATATAAACAATAAAACTTGCTAAACTTTCTTGCCAATGGATAATTACAATTTAAAAGAATTCATTTCAAACTGTTATTCTCTGGGATTAAATATGATTGTCTTGTCAAATTCTCATGAATATTACATTAGCAAAACCAGAAGTCATTTCACTGGACATGTACTGATCTCCCTGTACTGTATGTTCCTTGAAATAGATAACTGGCTCAAATCATAATTTCAAAAATCTATTATGAGAATATCAGTAATGAGGTATTTATAATTTAATGAAGTCTTTCCATGGATTCATTAAATAAACAGTGACAAAGGTAATTATTGATTTTTTTTTACAACAGCTCATTTCTGAATAAAGATTGTATTATTAAACCAAGTTAAAAGGAAACATCATGAAATATGA